GCACCAATTAGTTTGACCACAACGCAACAATACTGGTCCAGTCGAAAAAGAAACTGAAGAGACGAAACAACAACAAACTACTGGAGAAAGCACCAACAACAGATTCCCGCATTGACAAGCGCTTGTGTGAGTGGGTTGTGAGATATATGAATAAATGTGTAAAATGTAAACGAATTCAAACACATTTTATATGGTGTTAACCGCATATGGTTCGCCTAGGCTATGGTACAACCCCAACACTTAAAATACACAGCACTCATATGAGTAAAATAGTCGCTCTAAAATAAAAAATAAACGCTCACCACAGTTAATTTTGGGATTGCCTTCTACAACCAAAGACACATTATATAGAGTGCTGCAGAAATGGCGCATTTTTGTAGTCTAAACCCAGAAGCGGGTTAACATTTTAGCACTATTTCCACTGTTTGGAAGTCGATGAGTTTCTTGAAAGGGTTTTTGGTTAAATGCCTGAAGTGAGGTCTGTTGTAAACTAGAAACTAGAACGCTATTACAGCCTTGTTGTGTTTATAATCACGCTCTTGAAAACTATTCTAACTCAAATTGTTTTAAATAAAGACTGAATGGGTTGTTGGAAGCTTAGTGACGGTGGCATTGAAGTCATGCGACTATGGTGTAGATTGTTCGTTCATAGCCTATGTTTAGCTTTTTAATTCTGCTGATTGTATTTATAGGCTTTATAAAAGTTGTTCATTTGTGAAGATTATCATAACGAACAAAATGTGTAAGAATCAAACTTGTGTTGGTCAGAGCTTATTTTCTCCAATAATCCAAAGGAAAAAATTTGGGTTTTTAATCGAGGGAACCTCAATGATACCAACTTTTGGGTTGGCCAACAAAAATACATAATCACTGCAGTGCTCTACTAACAAATTGGCCAAAATTAGGTACTTTAGAAGAGCCTTAGTGTTACTAGCATGCATACTTATAATGCCTTAAAATGCTGCCTAAGTAGGGAGCTCACTAGGGCTGTTTCCGAAAGCTTAAAAATACTGCCTTTTGAGGATGCATAATAAAAAGGCATCAAGGCAAGTCCGAATCCAATGTTAGCTTCACTTCCTGATCCTGAGAAACCTTCATCTAATCGATTTTTAAAGGCAGCATAGATGTACCCTTTCATACCTTTAATATCCCACAATCCTGTGCTTTCCATTCTGTGCCAACTAAAAAATAAAGATGGCATCTGAAAGTAGAGGTTGGTGGTCAGTTTGTGTGTAAATGTCAGTTTTTGACCAACACTTTCCACTTTTGATGTGATTTCTTAAATATTTGCTTAGTTATCAACAAAGCTTGCTCTAATTTGCTGTAGATTATTAAGCCGTTATGCTGCCTCAGAAGCCTGTCCGAAATCAGTTTCGTGAGGAAAGTCATTGCCTGGTAAGGCAGCAAGGTAAGTTTTCAGACACAGCCTGTGTTTTGGAAACCGATCACACCAGAAAGCAGTACGTGTTCACAAACCCTTTTTCGTTAGAATTTTATGTTGAAATCAGGATATTCAAACTATTCAGATGTGATTGCACATACATAAGAAATAAATTCAAAGAAAGCTACACACACCTGCCATTAATAACTACTGAGTTATAGTAGAGAATGATAGACAAACATTCTTGACGGCCCCCACGTCCCTGAGCGCACACCGATATGGTTCACTGTCAGGTCACAGTACAACAGGTTAAAAGGTATGTTATCAGTGTTCCGGTTTATGCAATACATTATATACCTTTAACTGACACCAATTCTGAGGAAAGACGGTGAGCTTGAAGCGCAGTCTGCCGCATGCCTATTACTAACTCCAACACAAAGTTGACCTCTGGTAAGGACTGGGTGTACAGACTGTTCCACTGCACTCCAGAACAACATGATTCATTCTCTAGTCCATGCTATCATTACAGCAAGAAAAAGAAAATGAGAGACAGAGATAGTGGAGGGAAAACGAGAAAAGCTGATAGAGAAGAGAATATGAAGACATGACTTCCCCATTTAAGCTGATATTCAGGTAATGAAGGGGAAAGGTAAGAGGAGAGGGGGAGTATCAGAGAAAGTGAAGGAGAGAGCGAGATAAGACGATGAAAGGAAACCGAATCATGCATGTCGGTTGGGTTTCGAAGGCTACCGAACCTTGATAGGGGGCCAGCGGAGGGAATGGACTGTGTCTAACCATGACCCTTATTCACTTCACACAGACACACGGCCCTCACCAACACAGGGCACTACACACATAGGCTGAATCCCAATTCTTATACTTGCAAAGTACAAACTAATATACACTAACTTAAAAAAATAAATAAAAATAAATAAACACTTGTATTCAACAAATATGCATTATATTGATTAAAAGTGACAATGAAGACATTAATAATGTTACAAAAGATTATATTTAATCCTAATAATCCTGTTTTATGGTTTCCAGAAAAATATTAAGTCGCACAATTGTTTAAAAAATGTATACGATTTTTTTCTTGAGCACCAAAACACCGTATTTTAATTTCTGAAGGATCATGTGACACATTGACAACAGATGACATATACACAACAAAAACTTTACACAATATTTACAAGCAAACGACAAAGGGCAAGATATTAAGTAATATGGATATTATGTGAATTGTGGTTCAGCCTTAGGATTCAGTGCACACTTTCACAGTTCTTAGTAATCATGATGACTTTCTATGTGCATTTTAAATGGGCTAGTGGAGATCTAAACACGACTGAAAATAACAGGATAATTAAGCAAACAAACTTGACCCAATTCTCCAGTTCTCAGCGTGGCTTAACTTGGACTATTTAAACGTTACATCAGCTGGTTTTCTTTTATTCAAGAATCAGTAGTTGGGAGGGAGAGAGTGGTGAAAAAAGAGAATCAAGCCAACAGCAGTATAAACTGGCTAATCATCCCAGTGAGAAGTAAACAAATATTCTTGCATAACGAACAAACTGCATTAAAGATAACAAAAGCAAGCTAAGGGTTGAATAAACATTAAAAGCATTGTAGGAAAGTGTTGCACACAAATGTATCTTTAAAAAAAAAAAAAGTTAACTCAAAATATACTGATTCTTTTAGTTGTAAACCCACATGACTCAAGAAAGATTTTGAAGACTGTGCTGGTCTTTTCCATGCAATTGCATTTGAATGGGGACTGAACCATAAACATGGTCCGATGATACTGGGCAAAAAGTTATCACTCTGAATTCTTGAAATGTAGATCAAAAGTCACATTAACCACTTTTTAAAAAGCATTCAAACACTGAAAACCTTGATTCCTCATTAATTGCAACTGCATGCAACTGAATGACCAGAACATTCTTAAAAAATTTTTTTTTTTTAAATCTCCTTTTGCATTACATAAGGCAAGTTCACAAGGCAAGCATCTCAACAAAAGAAAGTCAAACAGTTTAAGTTTGGCACAACATAAGGATGAGTAAATAATGCAAAATGTCCTTAAAGGCAGTGGTCAGACTAGTAAAAGTAGTTTAGTTGTTAGTAGTTAAGTGCAAGGTCAACAAACACCAGCTGTCTGCCGTTTGCCTTCTTTTTCCATTCACTTTCATCCTTGAGAACTCCCTGATCTAAATGTGCTGTTATCCGTCAAGAGGAAGCTCAGCTGACCCACTAAGACTTTCCCGCCAAGCCTTGAACTCTTGCAAAGCTAAAATAAAACTCACATTCACACACACAAGGATGAGAGGCTGCCTGTCACTCCCCTTATACCGGAATCACCGGCACCCGCTCAGTCCAAATCAGTGACCCAAATCAGCGCAAATGTGGGACAGCCACTTACAGGCACTGTGTAAACACTCTCCCTTCCCGCTATTGTGTGTGATGTATATTTAGCCTGAACAGGGAGGCTAATGAGTGTTATGCTGTGGACTTGAACTGAAAATGGCACACTGGAGCACATTGACATGGAGAAATGATCAAAAGAGAGGGAGAAAAAAAAAAAGTAGCTTGTGGCTCCCAGCCAAGGATTACGAAATTGTGCAGCAGTATGAGCAGGTATTGGTGGCTCATCGCCCAAGCAACCCTGATGATTTCATGCTAAAAGTTTTCCGACTCATTTGATTAGATAAACACAAATCTGTTCAGGTGAGTCATTTAAATTATAAAAAAGCACTTTAATTACATTTACATAATTTATGCACTGCAGTTATAGATCATTCTGTAAAAGTCTTGAAATAAAAACACTCAAACCAAAAAGGCAAATGCAGCTGAGTCTTAAAATGTGAACTACGGATTAATTGTAATTCATAAACCTTGTGATGTTCCAAACTCATTCTTTCCTTCATGGTACTCAAAAGAATATATTTTGAAGAATGTTCATGCTGCTCTTTTCCATACAATCTCCAGAAGAAAACATAAAAAGGTAACCCATACGACTTAGGATATATTCCAAGTTTTCTGGTGCCGGGTTATGTCATTTATTCATTGTATGGATTAGAGCTGTGTTTACATTCCTCAAAATGTCTCGTTTTGTGTTCCATGAAAAAATGAATGGGTTTGGAAAGGCATATGAGCGAGTAAAAAAAAGTTTTTGATTGGACGTTGTCATAGAAAAAGCAAAGGCACTGAGAATCCTGAGGAAAGAACGTCCACGTAAGCTTAAAGTTATAGTTATGTGCTGACCCGAACCGATCAGACGATTACATAAATATAAGACTTCCAAATAAAGTCAAGCATCAGATTTAATAATGAAAAAATAACCTCCGTTCTTGATCAGCAGGGGAAAATGTGATCCAGTAATCCAACATCAGCAGTGATGAATTTTGAGTTCAGTCAGAACAGCCAAAGAGGTTAGAACAGCTCACCGCAGTGTGGTTTAAAAGAGCACCAGTCGTGGTTAGATGTGGTTAAAAAGTGCACCACTCAGACAAAACAGCAGCGGGGAAGACATCTGTCCAGTGCAAGTATCCAAATCCAGACATTAGCAGTAACCCCTGGTCTTTGGCAGATGGGAAAAACCATCAATCCATGTGTCTAAACATCACAGACCCTGAAGTGTGTTCTGCTACTCCACAGGGAAAGTTGAGGTATCACTGCAAACCAATGAATCTGAAAGCACATTCTTATATTGATCTGAAAAATACATTACGAGCCCTTCATTTCTTTGGTCCATCTGTGAGCTTGACCCCAATAAGCCCCATCAGAGCCGTGAGGTGGGTGCTATAGTACAGGTACCTGCCTGTCAATGACATTTTTATGTTCGGTAGGGTTTGTGTCCTGATCTGAGGCTTGTTCGGCTTTTCTCCTCTTGCGGACTTGATAAAGATGGTTTTTGGACTTCTGGTGTGCTGGAGGTCAGGACAGTTCAAATATTAGCATCAATAGTCTTGTTGTAAGATGTTTGAAAATGCACTGGTTTTCTAGTTTGCAGAAACTTACCCGTCCATTCCAAGTCGCCGATGATCACCTTTTCGCACAGATCGCACATGTGATGACTCCGTTTGTTGCGAGACTCCACCCCCTCAGCTCTGATTGGCTGTGTGGATGGCTGCTCTCCCTGGAATAGTTTCAAAAGTAGATGTGCTATGAATGGGGATTAGTAATTGGCCTAAAAAATCTTTAGAAATGATGATACATGAATAACCTAATGATAACTAAAAAAAATACAAAATAATAAAGTTTGTCATGATTGTGTGTAAATGTAAACTTATTTTAAATGTTATTAAAAACAGCACTTTTGTTAGTCTCCACTCTTTAAAAAAAAGAAAGATGAAAAAAATAAACACCTCCAAAAATCAGTGACAGGAAACTAGCAACACAAACGATTATGCAGAACCTCTACGGCTGGGTTCACAAGACAAATCATGATCAGAGGGGTGTAAAAGGAGACATTATTTGTCAACTAAACAAGAAACGAAACGAGTCAAACCTTTTGGAGGCAGTCCAGGATCTCTAGAGCAGGAGTAAGTACAGTAGTCTCCCAATTGGTCACATCTGTCACATCCAGACCGTAAACAGGAGGCACATTGTTAGAAGGTCCTGAAGATTTTGAAGATAAATTGACAAAAGATGACACTGATGAAATGCATTTTGATTAAACTTGCAGAATAATTATGGTGCAATGTAATGGTGTGAACACAGTGAACTCAGTTAATGTTACACCTTAGGCTAATGATTAAATTACTTTCCTTAACTTTCAGCTTGAGTCCATTGGGAAAAACAATGACCACGATTTGCTACTTGCTAATTAGGTATAGGCTCATTATAGAGAGCATATGATTGTGCAAAACATCTGTTCGGTGCAACATACTGATCTATATTATTTTTGGTCCATTTTCCTGGAAGAGAAAGACTGTAAATTTTATATCTGCTAAAATGTATTTTAGTCTAAGTGAATTTAGTCAATGTATCCTTTTAAGATGAAACGGAAGTAGTGAAAGATCTTTTCCTCCGTATTGTGACATCCGAATATAACGAATGATCAAACAAGGGGTCTTGGTTCTATCCAGTTGTTTGAATTTTGAGAGGTGGGCATTGCACTCAAAAGTAAATGAGAACTTGCAGTCGATAGACTAAAAGTCAAATTTCATTTAACAATTTTCAATAAACAATTAATGATTAAAAATGTCAAGGACAAGAGGGTGGAACGGATGGAGTACTCAGTATGGAGTGATGCAGGGAGGGCCTGCAGCAGCCTGAATCTGCTGAATCACTGCTGCTCGATAATCTCCAACAGGATTCTGACACTGTCTGCAGAGACGACCTCACTCTGCCTCCCTCAACGCTATTGATCCATGCACAATACACCAGACATGCACAGATAATGAGAGGCCCATACATTAAACACATGCAGAGTAAAAACACACACACACGGGTGTTCTGGTCACAAAAAAAAGGATCTACAGGGTATGTTATTCTGGTCCCCAGGTATTATTAGAGCACATTTCTTCTCATGATCTGAGGCATCATTCATGTCTACAGAGCAAACGGTGTGGGACAAGTTAGGTCCCGAAGTTATATAGGGTTGTGGTGGCCTGTTCAAATAACCCAACCTAATGCTTGGCTTAGTGAGAAACACTTTGTGTTTAGAACTTGTTAAAAAACACTGAACAGGCTTTCTGAAACTTATTTTACTTCACACATGCCTTTGAGATTAAAAAACACATGCCTTTGAGATAAAGTCATACATTGCAAAGTGGTAAGAATCACACTTGGCCGCCTGGAACACAGAGACTCTAATTTTAAAAATCTGTCTACAGCAATGGAAAACTCATCTTTGTCTTAAAATGAGAGGGCATGACCTGCTGTCATGCTTTACTCAAATCCTCCCACTTCCCTTATTAAACACAATAGACACATTATCTACATCAATTACAGGTTAAACTGCTTAAAATGGGAATAGAAATGATATAGGAAAGTATCAAAAAAGTTCCATTAGCGACATCTCTTTTCTCTGATCTTGGCTGTCTGGTGCTGCTCTAAACTGAAGGATATCACACACAACTGTGACCATACCATTTTAAGCCAGTATTAGAGACTGTCAATCTGTTTGGATTAATACTGAAAATCAATAATATGATATTTCAATGTGACATCACCATGGTATAAGTAAAAAAAACATGGTATTATCATGGTGCATTGCAGTTTAAAAAATAAAATAAATAAATATATAAGCTATAATATATAATATAAGCTTATATATAAATATATAAGGGTTTGGTGGTTGCCAGGAAAACGGTACTTGCTTGACTGCATTGTGCCAAGTGTAAAGTTTGGTAGAGGGGGGATTATGGTGTGGGGTTGTTTTTCAGGGGTTGGGCGTGGCCTTTTAGTTCCAGTGAAATGAACTCTTAATACTTCAGCATACCCAGACATTTTGGACAATTTCATGCTCCCAACTTTGTGGGAACAGTTTGCACGTCCAACATCAGTACCTGACCTCACAAATGCACTTCTAGGAGAATGGTTAAAAATTCTCATAAAGACACACTCCTAAACAGTGTGGAAAGCCTTCCCAGAAGAGTTGAAGCTGTTATAGCTGCAAACGGTGGACCAACTTCATGTTAAACCCTACGGATTAAGAATTGGATGTCATTAAAGTTCATGTGCATGTAAAGGCAGACGTATATTAGTTAATAGTATTCTTTATACTCAAATTTACTTCTACAGCATTGGTAAATCTTAATGTTTATTTCAACAACTACAAATAATAATAATGACATAATTAAGTCATGATGTAGACATAAGCAGTCACAATTTTTCTGCTGTGATAACCAGTTTCGAAGAGGCATCTTTCTGGCATGATATTTTTCAAACAGCCTCTATTTTCAAACACCGTCTAGTTGAACTGTCAAACTACTTTGAAATGGCTTGGCATCCTATACTTACAAATGTTTGTTTTTCTTTAAGGTAATGTTAGTAAAACTGACAAACATGAATATGCAAGAGCTCTCAAGATGTGTAGCCTGTTTATTAATTATAATTTCTGAATTGCACAATGGTGTTGACAAAAACTATTTGAGCTTTTTGTAATAAAGAAGAAACCTGACCTGAAACCAACAAATTTTTGATGTGTGATTTTTTTTTTTTATAGTAACGGAATTTAGAGGAGCCACCACTTCACAAGGACACTGCTGACAATATCACCAACCCTCACACCTGTTTGCCTGAGGCAAATATTACGCAAGTCCAGAACTGTAACAGAGAAAAATGCCCTTAAACACTTCTTTAAAACAAAAAAAAGCTATTAGTTAAAAACACTATGCAAAAAAACGTAATTTGCATAAAATGCAAAGTACATAACCACTGAACATTGTTTGTAACCGTAGTTAAATGTTTATCACAGAAAATCTAATTCTTTGTCAAACAGTTACTCCACGTCTGGCCAAAAGGAACAGACCGTTTCTAATTTAACCCATGGCCAACCACTGGAATGCCTCCAAATGCAGTCTAGTTCCTTATCTAGATGACACCAATAAGTATTACATAATCCAGAAAAACAACAACAGCACCCAGAATATTAAACGCACTAAAAGGCATTTAAAAACCTGAATGGTTATCATATAGTAAAATGTATTCCTTAAAAAAATAAAAATAATAATTGAATTCTTGAAATTAATACATAAATGGTACATTCAATCAATTTCAACTGATTTAAAACCTTTTCATCAAAATGTAAAATTGAGTTTCAGTGCTACCAAAATACAAATCCAGGTTATAAATAAATAAACAAACTTATAAAGTAACGTCATTTAATTTAATCATTAAAAGCATTTTATGATCGTCTAGTGAGCATTATATTTCATGAAATGTATTACACTGATGATTTAAATAAATATAATTCAATATCAAATACCTGCTGTCAAATTTGATAAATTATTTATTGAAAATTGTTTAAAATAAGTATATGCACTATTAAAGACTGTTGCTAATTTGCAACTAAATATTCATTTTGAAATTTAAAATCAAAAATCCATTAATTTATCACACTAAGCAAAGATATCTCAGCAAACCTGAAATAATTCATTAGGTTAACATTGTCTTAGAAAGCCATGCATTTAATGATGCATACAGCTTTTGCATTGGCACCAATTGCACAGGTGTTCCTGCACACAAGAGACCCAGCGTCCCACTTAGCTGATGTAAAGCATCTCTTTACCTCTAACTAAACCTTGTTGCATCTTGCTTGCCGTCGCTCCTAATCAAAGACAGTTCTGCAGTCTTTATGTCCGCTTTTGTGCTTATCAGAAAAGAGCGGCAGCAGGTGGGCCTGCACAGAGACACCTGGCCTACCTGAGCCATGTGGGGAGTGGAGGACTTTTTTTGTACCTCTCTCTGGGGTATAGAAATTAGAGGGAACGGGTCAACGATGGCCATCTGGGGGTAAACAGATGCTGAACGGAGGGCTTGCCCCCACCCAAAATTCAAATCTCGGTGAAATCTAAGTCAAGTAATCTTGCCAGACCTGAATGGTGGAAAAGACGAGAGAACAAGGGTTTCTAACCACAGAGATCTCAAATATCTGCCTAAATGAGGCGGCACCTCTGCAGCACACCCACGGCAGACAGCCGTGCGGCTGCTGCCTTTTGAGATGTGAAAAGACCACTCGCTCACCAACTGGCAGATCTTTTCCAAAGAGTCTCCAAAGACATGGGCATCAGGAAACGCACTGAGCAGTCACACCTGCTGCTGTTTGTGTGATAACAGAGCCTAGGTCATGAAAAAAGAACGAAGGAGTGGATATGGATGTCAGCACAGGACACCGGCTATAATGTTGGACAGCTGTAGGACTAATCATCAGATATCCAGCTGTAGGTTGTGAACACCAGGTCAACACCTCAACAGCTGTTTTTAACTCCTTTCATACCTTAATTTAGTTTACATTTGCTTATACATTATATAAGCAAAATCTTCCACCGTATGCCATTCACAAGCTCATCAACACGTGTTCATGTATAAACACCCATGGACAAAGGTCCATATGCAAACGGATGGCATTCGTATTCTTGCGGGAATGCATTTAGGGAGTGTGGGGTGTGTCCTGAGGTGTGTGTGTGTAAGGGGACACTGTTCTATGTCGCACCTGTCGCGCATCTCACTCAGGTTTCCCCTATCGTTGACAAAAGGCAAGAGACTGTTACTTAGTGCTCACATTGCCTCCCTGAGCTGTCGACTGAACTGTTGTCACGGTTACCCCCCAAGCTACTCTCCTCTCCCTAGGGAAGCGGAAACGGAGCTGATCCCTGATCCCGAATTCAGCTGTCAACAGTAGGGTTCAAACCAGCACAGCTCAAGAAGGTAGCACACTGACTATTAGCTGCAAATTAATTGATTTTAATAAGGGAGACACATCACAAGAACTTTTCTTCCAAACAATTTTTGACTGCTCTGAAGGTGATGCTCCCTTCACAGCTGTCAGCTTGGGGCAACAAAACCAATACACCGAACCGGCTTTTTCATATCAGCTCAGAGTTTGTTTCAATTTACAAACAAAGCCACTGATTGAAAAAGGAAAGAGGAGATGTTGATCGCCCCATAGAGGCCAGGAGGACAATGAATGCAAGTTTGCCCTCAATGAACCCACAGTCCTTATCCCCAAGAGGCCTCACCATAAACTCCAACCTCCTGCCACCCTTCTAAATTCCTATCAGTACTCTAATGCTTGCAGGATTAGACCATAAGCTGAGGTCCCCATGAGGCACTAGGATGCGTGGGGTGTGGAGGGAGGGATCAGTTAGGCTACTGACAGGCAGCCACAGGAGCTTAACCAGACCACAATCAGGGCAGAGTCCAGCAAAGGGTGGGAGAGAGGTGGGGATGGATGCAAGGGGTTTAGTTGTGATGACTTGAGACCTACTGGCCTGGTGAACTTGAAGTAAGGCAACAAGAGGTGACCCAAGAGTTTAAATGCTTCTTAGAAAACTAAAATCATTGTTGTAGTACTGATGTTTATCTCAAGTCCTAGTCCAACACCATAATTTCAGGAGCATTTGAACTAATGAGCATTAGGACTCCAATGAGCTGGTCTCTACTAGTCATAGAAAATATGGTCTTGGACTTGAGTACTACAATACTGGCTAACAGAGCTGTTGAAAATGTAGAGAGAAATCTAGCCTGCTACTTATCTAATTATTTTCTTAAATAATTAGGATGGCAAAAGGCTTGGTATACCGCATGGAAAGAGCAGAAACTTGCCACGCTGCAGGACTGATCACTGGTCAAAGCACCAGGAACCATCTGGTGAAGTAAAATACTTTTTAAGAACATGACCAAAAGGCTCCTTCTTGCAGAAGTCAGGAGAAGATTATTCAGTAACTAAAATCAGGACACAAAGGTCATAGAGGAAGGCCACATTCACAGACATCTCACCTAATGCCAGCTGCCCTCGTGTGTAGGGTTCAGTCGCAAATGATGGGACACAAAACTACTCTTAATAAGGGCTAGCCACTGTCTCTGCCTAATCTCATTATGGCTAACAGGATTGCTGGTAGTCTCCACAGGGATGGGGAACAAGGGGTAATCCAGGCCAGGATCTTTAGAAACAGGGGTCAGAATCCAAAGGGAATGCCCATATAATGTTGGGAAGAATGGTAGAGGCGGTGAAGGCCAAGGACTTCCAAGGTAAAGTGGAAATCAAAGGTAAATCCAAGACATTAGTTTGGTCAGTGTTGAGGTGCTTACAAGAAGTAGAACAGGAAAGAAGAGTGGAAGACAAAGATGATGCATGTGACAAGTGGACAAAAAACAACATGCATGTAAACTTGAAAAAAGCATGTTCCAATGAACATTGTCATCTCATGTCATTCCAAACCCATATGACTTCCATGGAAAACAAATTTTCTTTCCAAAAAATGTTTTAAAGAATATCCTGGCCACTCTTTTCAACAAAATTAAAAATTATTTAAACCATTCTGAAGACATTTAATAGAGCTTTGCATGAAGAACAGACCAAAATGTAAATCATATTTCACTGAAAGTTCTTGACATCCAAGCAAGCTCTACTAAGAGTACGTTAGAGAAGTAGCAACGTCTGATTTGTGAACCAATTATTCCAAATGGTATGAACGTTCACAAATTGGACTATAAATCTTGAGTTTAAATCATGCATGTTTGGAACAACATGTTGGGTGACAAAATTATTTCATAAAGGATTATTTCTGGAGGAATTATTCCTTTAAAGCTTGTACACACAGGATATGATTGCACTTTATCAGTGCTGTTTTTTGGGGGCTTTCTTTACATTTTGGGTCTAGGCATTAGATAGACCGCTGCATCACATCTCACTTCATAAGCATCAAGTTAAAATTAGTCAACTTTAAAAAACACTTCTTGAGACCCTCTGTGTTCTGTTTTTGTCCCACTCCTTGTAGCTGTTCTTTACGCAAGATACACGTCCTGTGTGAACGTCCCCTGTGCCACGCACATGCACACATTCCTTTTAACTTTATAGCTTTTGTTATGCAACAAACTAACATTATTTCACTTCTACACTCACCATTGTTATGAAGTGTCCTTTACCTCCTTTCTCTAGATAAACTTCACACCCTGATGTCACCAGCACAAACATACACACACAGCTGTTTAACCACTGAAGTGCTTGCTGATTCTGCTGGTGTCTGTTAGGAAGTAATAGTACAAACTGTTCAGACTGACCGTGTCTTGAAACACCCAAACTTTACGAGCATTTGATCTTTTATCAACCCAAGGCCAGTAAATACTGAACCCTGAGCCTTGGAATTTTGAGGCTGTCTGTGAGGGAGGGGTAGCCTTCAAACACACACACAGTATTTCTCTATGACTGTTTGTGTGTTTAATGGTCTGTGTGAAGTCCATCTCGTTAAAACCAGCTGTGATTACCTGACCATTAGACCGTACTGAAAGAAAACGAAAAAGAGACACACAGCTACAGTAACCTCTGGGGGCGACCAATATACAACAGCCAATATACAACAGACAAGCCACTAGTGAAGCCAATATTTAATGTCCAGCAATGAATTCAGAATTGAGATGAGTGAACTTAACACTAATGGTGGATGCACTTCCCTTGTGATCAAAATTGAAGCCAGTGGCTGCAATGCACTCTGAACTAACACAGCTGCAGTATTACGGAGCATCTAGCAGCAGAGACTGTACCTCACAGACAATTAAACCCTCAAACAAGAGACAGGATGGAAAGGGGAGGACGACGAACTCGCGTTAAAGGGTGGTGGAACTTTCATGCAATGTCGTCCATGAATTTATTCCAGGGAAAATATGGCTATAACAATCTGTGGTTTGGTGCCTTATGGGCATCAGATAAGCTGCCTTCTGAATTTGAACACTGCACAACACCAAGGAAAAAGTGTGTATTCAGCGAGACTTACTCTTGAGGAATCGGTTGCGGACCCATTTGTTCTGTTTTCGGGCATAGCGGCGAGTCGCCTGCTTGAGAGACTCGACCCCTGTGAGAGAAAGAAATAACAAGATCAATATATGACGGCCACACCAAGTACCGCAAGACATGTTTGTGGGAGACAACACATAAAAAAAATACAAATAAATGAAAAAGTAATGCGCAATAGGTTTACCAACACAATTTAAAGTGCTTAATAGCAAAGCATAGAGGACAAGGAGAAGAGGAAGAGCCAGTTCCATTAAAAATCTCAGCCACCCCACCCCACCCCCTCTCAATTCACTTCCTCTTCAGTATATCCTCTTACCACTGGTGCCACAGTATATTGGGCTGTCTGTGTTAAGGCTACACAATTTAGTCAAATTTATATATTCTTTCGACAAATATTAGCATTTGAAATGTTATATTTAAAGGGATGGGTCACCCCAAAATTTGAATTCTGTGATCATTTACTCACCCTCATGTCATTCCAAACAATCATGACTTTCCTATATCTTTAGAACACAAATGAAAACATTTGTAATATTTGCTTATTTTTGTTGATCTATTTGAAAGTCGATGCCAACAAAAGTCTCATGCATCAAAAAGCACAAAAAGTTGTCTTTCTGAAGACACATGATCACTTATATGATGAACATATTAATTTTAGGATTTTACTTACATATAAACATTGATCAATGCACATACATGGAGCACATCAAAAATGATAAAGGAAGCTCAAATGTGCTTGCTTAACACACCAGAAGCATATAGGTTTGTTTTCGGACATCAAACAAACACAGTTAAGCTTCATATTTCGCAATGCCTTTTTGTACTTTTTGATTTGTAAAAGATTTGTCTGGAATGGCATGAGTGTGAATAGATGACAGAATTTCCATTTTTCAGTGAACTATCCCTTTAAAAATCTTGCGCTGCTGCTTAGATAAATATATATTAAAAAAGTCATAAAACCACAAACAAAAAAGTATAAGAACAATTTATCTACTTTTTTTAGACACTTTTTTGTCTAGTCAATGGAAAACGGAAAGAGTTTTATATATATATAAAACTCTTTCCATTTTCCATTGACTATACCAAAAAAGTAGATAAAATGTTCTTGCTCATTATTGTGATATATCATATTACTGTATGCACAATATTGTTATTGTGGCCACTTCAAAATACTGTGAATCATTTTTTATTGCAAATTATTCAGATTTTCAGAATGCTTTTCATGAATACTTTTTCCATCAACTGGTTACAATGCACATCACCGCTATATGCTCCGTCAAAGGGGTATGCACATTGATGTAAACAAGGATGAGAAGAATATCGAGTTCACATTGCATCTACATTGTACTTCAACTTGAAAGTGGACTGGATTCGAACTCTTTTTGTATCAATGTAACATGGATTTTTTTTAATATATACACTCACCTAAAGGATTATTAGGAACACCTGTTCAATTTCTCATTAATGCAATTATCTAATCAACCAATCACAAAGCAGTTGCTTCAATGCATTTAGGGGTGTGGTCCTGGTCAAGACAATCTCATGAACTCCAAACTGAATGTCAGAATGGGAAAGAAAGGTGATTTAAGCAATTTTGAGCGTGACATGGTTGTTGGTGCCAGACGGGCCGGTCTTGAGTATTTCACAATCTGCTCAGTTACTGGGATTTTCACGCACAACCATTTCTAGGGTTAACAAAGAATGGTGTGAAAAGGGAAAAACACCCAGTATGCGGCAGTCCTGTGGGCGATTCAAGCTGATAGAAGAGCAACTTTGACTGAAATAACCACTCGTTACAACCGAGGTATGCAGCAAAGCATTTGTGAAGCCACAACACAAACAACCTTGAGGCAGATGGGCTACAACAGCAGAAGACCCCACCGGGTACCACTCACCTCCACTACAAATAGGAAAAAAGAGGCTACAATTTGCAAGAGCTCACCAAAATTGGACAGTTGAAGACTGGAAAAATGTTGCCTGGTCTGAGGAGTCTCAATTTCTGTTGAGACATTCAGATGGTAGAGTCAGAATTTGGCGTAAACAGAATGAGAACATGGATCCATCATGCCTTGTTACCACTGTGCAGGCTGGTGGTGGTGGTGGTGTAATGGTGTGGGAATGTTTTCTTGGCACACTTTAGGCCCCTTAGAGCCAATTGGGCATCGTTTAAATGCCATGGCCTACCTGAGCATTGTTTCTGACCCTGTCCATCCCTTTATGGCCACCATGTACCCATCCTCTGATGGCTACTTCCAGCATGATAATGCACTATGTCACAAAGCTCGAATCATTTCAAATTGGTTTCTTGAACATGGCAATGAGTTCACTTTACTAAAATGGCCCCCAGTCACCAGATCTCAACCCAATAGAGCATCTTTGGGATGTGGTGGAACGGGAGCTTCGTGCCCTGGATGTGCATCCCACAAATCTCCATCAACTGCAAGATGCTATCCTATCAATATGGGCCAACATTTCTAAAGAATGCTTTCAGCACCTTGTTGAATCAATGCCACGTAGAATTAAGGCAGTTCTGAAGGCGAAAGGGGGTCAAACACAGTATTAGTATGGTGTTCCTAATAATCCTTTAGGTGAGTGTATATACACACATACATATTAAACACACACACACACACTGAATATTAGATTACAAGTGAATTACTATTAAAATAACTACTGGAGTTTTATAATGCAATATTAATATCTTTAAAAAAACAAAAACAACTTTCATGAAGCACTGCTAGGTGGTCCAGCTAACCCTCAATTCTTTATTTTGAGAGTGATCTCAATTTTTGTGTGCAATTTTTAGTGTGCTCCTCATTCCAAATTAAATAACCTCCGTCTACAAAACTCTGGTGTCATCATGTTATGTTAAATTTTACAGTAACCCATGGCACCAAAACCGCAGAAAATATTGCATCATGAGCCCCTTGTGTGCTTGAAGTATGTGCAGTTGACAACAGAACTAAGCTCTTTGCTTTCAGTTTGAAGCACAGAGAACATGAACATGACCATACACTAACGTTCAACAGTTTAGGGTACGTGAGGTTTTTAATGTTTTTGAAAGAATTCATTTATGCTCATTAAGGCTGAAGTTATTTGATCAAAGATACAATAATTTTTTTTTTTTTTAAATTGTGAAATATTACTAAAATTCAAAATATAAGTTAACCATTTTGATTTATTTTTTTAAAAAATGTACTCCTGTGATGGTAAGGCTGCATTTTGAGCAGCCATTACTCCAGGCTTTACTGCAACATTATCCTTCAGAAATCATTCTAATATTCTGATTTTGATGCTCAAGAAACATTTCTTATTATTATCAATGTTGAAAACATTTGTAATATTTTTGATTCTCTGGTGAATAGAAAGTTCAAAACAACAGCATTTATTTCAATTACAAAAAAAATAAATGCCTGTGACTTCTGATCAATTCAATGCTTCTTGGTGAATAAAAAGAGTGTAACACAACAATAGAACAATAGTGTAATTGAAATTAAACTGCAGCTTTTTGCCCTTTAATAATTCCAGTTGAACCCGGAGAATATTGTACAACGTGACTTTTTAAAAAGCTTAGCTTAAATTTGTGTTATAAATGCATAGTGTTGATAAATCTCAGTTGAAACAGTAGAAGCTTGGACCCTGTCTGTTTTAGGGCTGTCAACGAATATTCTAAATTCGAATATATATTCGAATAGTTTTAAAAAACAGAAATTCGAAGGTGAAAATTAATATTCGAATCATGTGGAAAAACACGCCCGCGGTAGCAGAGGCGCGGCTGTCTCCTTTGTGAGTGGCAAAATTCTGAAGCTTAAAATGTAAAACGCATTTTCCAGCTGCACAGACAGATAGCACAGTGAGTGTCTGGCTCACTCATTGGCTGTGCTGCGTCAACTGCACATCCAATGGCACGGGCGCCTCCAACGTGTGCGCCAATGAGCTAGCATTACATCAGACACGTCAGAGCCCGCCAATGGGGGCGTGGCCAGACGCCCTCGAAATAGCCATAGTAGCAGGCTAGCAGCAGTTTACCACAACACAGCTCGCACGGAGCGTTCAATGTCGGTTCTATAGACTGTAAAACTTAAATTAATGTTAATAATATTTGTTTCAATCACCGAATGAAGCCTGCTATATTTAGGAAAAGAGTCGCGACCTTAAATTGCTTGCACAAAACTCTTGATCAGCACTCAACATCTGTTTATTGTTGTTCATTTAAACCGTTATGCGCAGAGAGCGTGAGGGCGAGAGAGAGAGAGACAGAGAAAGAGTGCCTGCGAGTGCGAGCGAGAGTAAGGTCTGCGGTCTTGGCCATTAGTTGATTTACTTGGTTTTGTGTAAGTTAATACGTTGTCAAATATGTTTAAACTTAAATAAACTACCTATACAAGTAGTTGTGTCTCTTTGTATTAATTTGTCCTGTTATTAACGTAATGCGCATCATTGACAAAATGCGCAACCAGATATTCGAATAGTTCGAATATATGGGTTTTTTTTTTAGGGAATATTCGAACGTCATTTTTGAGCAATTTTGACAGCCCTAGTCTGTTTGCTGATTGCTCTTGCTATAACAATTTCATTTTCTATGTTGATTCAGTGTACATACTAACATTTGTGTATTCACCTCACTGGCAGTGGTATCCCCCCAAAACTAGAATGCAATTCACAATCCATCATATGAACATAAGAGCAACACAAATCAATCAGAGAGCAGTATTATTATCTTCATGGCCAACTGAAAAGTCACTAATACTGAGCACTAAACAAGCGAAACACTCATGAGCTCTCAGCAGACATGAGCGGTGTTATGAGTGCTGCAACTTTCATGCTTAGTATGCCAGTAATTGATTTTGACACCAATCCGACTGACAGAGAGAGAGAGAGAGAGAGAGAGAGAGAGAGAGAGAGAGAGAGAGAGAGAGAGAGAGAGAGAGAGAGAGAGAGAGAGAGAGAGAGAGAGAGAGAGAGAGAGAGAGAGAGAGAGAGAGAGAGAGAGAGAGAGAGGGGACAAAAAGCCTGACGTCTTCCTCTACAGCCCCTCAGCAGCTGATGACAGACTGAGCGTTCACTCTTAAACGCTAAATGTTCAGAGATCTGATCAGACACAAACACCAGAGCAATTCTCAAAACTGCTGAAAATTTAGAAGATACATACCGGTTTGCTTTATAACAGGGCTGTCAATCGATTACCAGTTTTAACTGAATTAGATATGCTGGTTAATCAAATGAATCACATCTCCGTATTTGATGAGAAATGTTCACGAATGAATATATAACAAAGACTTTGTGACAAATGAATAAATAATTTAAGACATTACATAAAGTGTCTTTCAAAGTCAATATGCTGTTGTCCCGTCCACAGCGACACAATTTGTAATGCATGAAGTAGACTTCCTGTCTGCACTTTTTAATTGTTGGTTTGTGTGAACGTGTCAGACACCTAATTAATCATTACTGTTACAAAAAGTAATTAATCACAAGCAATTAATCATAAACCTGTACAATATACTTGTCTGAAGGCGGTAGTGATAATTTTGTATTACAATGAAAATGTATTTTAATCAGTGTTGGACAAAGTGTTTTTGCTTCAAATGTGCCGAGTTTGTTCAAGGACCGGTTTATTTGACTGTTTAAAAAAAACTGCTTGGAAAAGCATGAGAATGCTTTCAGAATGAATGTCTGAGATTGTTTGCGCTCTCTTTTGTGTGAAGTCAGGAACGGTTTCATAACTGTTCTCACGCAGAAAAATTTCAAGAACATCAACAATCTCACTCTATGTTCATTCCCAAGGCCTGAACTGACAGATGTTTAGTTTACAACAAAAGAATGAAGACATTCAAGCTAAAACAAAAATGACAGTGAATGAATGCTAACCTTTAATTTTCAGTTTATCAAGTTCTTCTTGACTGAGGTTCTCACTTGCTGTCAGGTACTCGTGAAACTCTTTAAAGCCAATAGACTGGAATATGCCATGCTGATAGTCCTGACTGTAAACACAGAAGAGAAAAACTAATTACTTATGTATACCAAATTATTACACACGCACAAAAACTGAAGAACAGTACTAGATTTTCATGGATGTAAATCTCACTCATCTTTACCCATGAAAAATAGCACCACAATGCTAGAATGTTCTGGGTTGTTGCCAGGGTGTTACTACGCAGTTGCCAGAGATATTTACTGGTTGAAGCCAAAATTGCCGGTTTGACCACTATTTTGTCAAGTAAAATGTTATTTTCTGTTTCATTAGGGCAGCCCCTTAATAGTCGAATAAACGTTAGTCAACGAGAAGAGGTTTAGTCCACCAAAATTGTATTAGTCGGTTTGTCGCACAAAAAGAAAATTCACAAGAAGTGGCGTTGACTTGGCAACACTGACTTCACAAGAAGTAGTCAGTGTTGCCAAGGTTTTCACAAGGAATTGAGCTACTTTTACATTGTTGTCATGGGTTGTTTTTTAGTTCACGGGTTAAAGGGCATATTGCAGGTTAGAGGACCCAACGGGTCAATGTATAGAAAAATAATGTAGGAACTAGATTTTCTTTCAAATATACTTATAAATACACTACAGAAGCTTCAGGAGTCGTTTTTATGAGAAAAATTTACTTCCGCATCTGAAAATGGGCTTGGCGGGCTTGACGTAACGGGCAGGAGAGCGGTCGATTCAAACAACAGGAAAAAAATGGATCGTAATGACATTTCCGACGCTGAGGAAATACTTACTCGTATGACGGACCACAGCCATACAATTATGAGCCTGCTATGCTGCCGAGAGAGCAGGGACAGGCCAGGATTAATGTTAGAAAGAACGGACAGAGACAAATTGAGTTGTGGTGTGAGGAGAACCAGTGGAGAACAGGACAGGTGTCTTGGTGAGAGAGACCAGTGTTAGTTTATAGATATATACATGTTCGCTAACGATATACACTGTGCTCACAATATTGTAGATTATTACCATCATGTATCAGGCCAGCAGACATGAGTATGTTTAGGGTATATATACTATTAAATGTATAAAAACTATATCTTGAGTATATTTGTATTGTACTAAAAACATACTCAAGTACATTTTTAATACATATTTTTCACCTGGGTTATAACAAACAGAAAATTAAAGATTTGAATATTTAAACAATCTGAGTTATTTTGTTTTTCAATTACAAGTTGCCTCTATTTAGGGCATGACTACCTATATCACACTATTTGATGCCATTGGTACAGTATAAGACGATCGATATTCTTGCTTCGGCATCCCATGTTTAACTCCATCATATCGCCGGGATGATAATCCTCCGATCTGAAGTGAACGCTACACACGACCGCGTTTTTCGAAGCCGATGCGGAAGAAAAATCCCGCCTCTTCGCCTGGACAAACCGCAGCAGGCACGAAAGATATATAGCTCCCTCCTTTTTCTTGTTATGGAAACCTGTGGACTCGATGTCCTGACAGGCCAGAGTTTTTGCAACCTCCACAAACACAATTTACCATGACGATGATAAATTGAAATACAAAAAAACACTGACTCACGACAGCTCTTACTGAATACCAGCCTACTCTGCACTGAGCCGAGGCTGAGGCTCCCTGTCGTGACGTAAAATGACGCAATGTTGGGGAAAAAAAGCCATTTTTACGAGCAGTCAAAGAAACGCTCACTTTATCTACTAAATTAGTGCCCATATGTCATTTTAAAACATTTTAAATCCTGCATTAACTTTTCATATGGTATTTTCATACAAGGTTATACACTCACCTAAAGGATTATTAGGAACACCTGTTCAATCTCTCAATGCAATTATCTAATCAACCAATCACATGGCAGTTGCTTCAATGCATTTAGGGGTGTGGTCCTGGTCAAGACAATCTCATGAACTCCAAACTGAATGTCAGAATGGGAAAGAAAGGTGATTTAAGCAATTTTGAGCGTGGCATGGTTGTTGGTGCCAGACGGGCCGGTCTGAGTATTTCACAATCTGCTCAGTTACTGGGATTTTCACGCACAACCATTTCTAGGGTTTACAAAGAATGGTGTGAAAAGGGAAAAACATCAAGTATGCGGCAGTCCTGTGGGCGGAATCCGGAATCCGTATGAAAGGTTCATTTCTCTCTAATGACGCTCCACTATACCGCGGAGACGGCGAGCCAATAACTTATTTTTTTCCCACCTCCACCCCCCCTCTTCGGAGGACAACTTTATTTTTTTATTTTTATTTTTTTTATTACAGAAACTGTAATATCTTTTTTAAGTACATACAATAACTTCATCTTTGCTGTTGACACTGACTCAGAAAACCCTAGTTTATTAGTAAATAGTTGCAAGTCTCCTTGCTATTTTTTTCCAGACACATTCATAATCATTACTTTTGCTGGTGCTTTGCGGCAAGCTTGAGCGTAGAATAGTCTATATTTTACACCTATATTAAAGGCTCATTATGGTTTAGTATTATCCTCAGTATATATTTAATTAAATTACTTAATATAAACGTGCGATGAGTCGACTAATGGCTTAAATTAATGACTACTAGTCGACTAGAAAAAAATCAGTATATTTAAAATAGCCCTATATTTTATCCAAAAAGCTATATAAATATACACTACTGTTCAAAAGTTTGGGATTTTTTTTAAATGTTTTTTTAATAAGTCTAATGTTCACCAAGGCCACAAAAAAAGAAAGAAAAACAGTAAATTATTATTTTTCTTCCTATAAAATGGAAGGGGGAGGTAAGGCTTATAATGCCATTACAGCTCTGATTCTTTCACTTAGGACTTCAATTCTATTTGATTGCATTTAAGCATTGCACAGCATCAGATGTAGCTAAATGATTGCCCTCTCTTTCTCTGTTGCGCTCTGTCTGGGTGACATTGAGTGAAGTCGGAAGTTCAACAGCAACGGGCTGTTACGGCAAGCTCTTTTGTGAAATATAAACGCTCTCGTAACATTTCACATATAAAATCATATCATATGAAGTGTTGCACTGGGAAAAGTAATCTGAGAGCACAAAAAAATCTGTCAAAGCATCAACCTGCTCACATTAAACTACATTATTATGGCAATATTTAAAGAGTTGTGCTCCCATGTTTTTGCACAATTATTCAACAGCTCACTCTGTAGTCATTTTTAAAATGTATTTCATCATACAAATACACTTAAAGCAACTGTAAAGTGATGTCACTGACTAAACAACAATGACATCTGTTAATCTTTTTTGTTATCAATGTTATTGTTTAGCTGTAGCAGAATTTACAGAACAGTGTTCTAAATATAAGGCCTTTTGGGTGAACTCAAGGGTGAAATCGCATCCAATGTTTAATGGGACCCAATTTTAGACGGAAAAGCGGTCACTGGGTGCATCGGAACCCCAGCCCCTGGGGTAAAAATGAGTTGTCATACAGCTCAGAAAACAGAAAGAGAGATCAGCCGGTCACAGGGACACAGACAGTGCAGACGGGGTGAGGGGGAGGGGGTCTATTGACAGGACAGAGCGAGATAGACTGAGAGGGAATGGAAAGGAGAGACAGGCAGAGTCTGACCTTGCTGCCTAGTGACTGCTCCCCGTGTAAGGCGAGAGGGCTGGCGGAAGGGTGGCAGATGCAGACATAAAGAAGAGGAAAAGGGGGAGGAAGAGAGTAGGATGACGTGAGGAAACAGGAGAAAAGCGCTTGGGTGGCAAGTTTGCCAGCGAAGACGTCTAAGAGGGGAGGTGGGGCGCGATCGGCTGGACGGAGCGCTGGGCGGCCGGCCATCAATCAGCAGAAGCCACACCCAGAGCTGCCCAACCCCAGACACTGCTGTGTCATCAACATCCACACACACACACCGCAGTGCAGTCCGTCCGCCAATATCCCTGCACAACAAAGCATGTGACAGCACTAACAATCAATAATTAATCACCTTATCAAACAAATATTGTTAGTGCATCCATAAACACAGGCTAAAGCACAGGACACTGCATCGTGGGCTTCGCTCTTGATCTGATTGCCGCAAGATTGGAAGATTGCAGTGTGATCTGCTGTGCCGTAAATTCGCTAACAGCCACTGCACCATGCTTGTCTTAGCAAAACTCACAGCTACAAAGCCAGGGTGTTAATGGTGGTTGCCAGGGCAATACAATGTGGTTGCTAGGGTGTTGAGTTGTTTTCAGGGCATTTCTATATGGTTGCTAGGGTCTTATGAGTGGTTGCCAGGCCATATCTATGTGAGAGTGTTATGAGTGATTGCCAGGTCGTTTCTATGCAATTGTTAGGATGTTATGACTGGTTGCCAGGGTGTTTCTATGTGGTTGATATGGTGTTATGAGTGGTTGCAAGGGCATTTCCTTGTGATTGATATGGTTTATGATTACTAAGCAGTTGTGAGTGGTTGCCAAAGGGTTTCTAATAAGGATGGGTGATATGACCAAAAACTTTATTTCAAGGTATAAGAAATTTTATTACACGATAACGATACATATCACGATTATAGTTTAGTTTTCTCGTTATTAAAAATTAGAACAAAAAAGCAAATTACAAAATAAGAGGATAATTATAATATAACAAAAATATGACTTAAACCAATTACATTTTTCCAGGTACTGTAGGTTTATTTAACATGTAGTTATAAATAGTAGAGAAATTGAATAATCAAATGTAAAAAATAAAATAGTGCATAGACTTCACTGTATTAATTCAATATAACTTTATTCTTAACCCTTTAGGCGCCAGAGGTTTTTTCCTAAAACGTTCGATTTTGACATCATAATTTCTAAAGGCTATATCTTAAAAGTGATAAAAGATAGAGACTTTCCGTAAATTAGAGAAATATTAAGGAAGACCCAAAGTTTATGTAGGGATTACATTTTCCCATCGAATTTGCATATTATGACATCATATGGTGGTCATATCTTGTATTATAGAATTTTCATGAAAAGTCACATGTTTAAATGATAAAATGCAGCACTTCTTTTCCCCCAAAATGTCCATCACCTTCTGTATGCTATATTGCACAATACTG